AGAGTTTGAGGTTACTGTGAGCTATGACACCATGGCATTCTACCCAGAGTGACAAAATGAGATTCTGTCTAAAAAAAATAAAAAGATTTACATTCTTGTCTGTTTCATTCATTCACTGCTGTATCCTCAGTGTCTAAATCAACATCTGGCATTTTACAGACTATCAGTAAATAGTTGTAGTGGGGAAAATAGCACATAGATCTAAAAACACAACTAAAATGAGGGCACAAGTCTGTTAAGTGTCAAGTGAGCTTACTTGACAACTAAATGATCCAAGATCACATAGCAAACAGAAAAGAGAGTTTCACAGTATTATAGCTATATGGTAGAACAAGACTCTGAAGAACAGTTCAAGAGCAAAAAAAGGTGGAGGGGGCAGGGAGTCCGAGTAAGTTGGAAGCACTGTGTGCCCTAAATTTGGGAGCAGGCTAACATGCAAATGCTCCTCAGAATTCTAAACAGTTCCCACCTACAGCAACAAGGAGAAATCCTGAAACACACTGAACTTTGTGATTCTCTGAGCTCCTCACATTTTGAAAGAGTTTTTGAAGTACAATTCACAGCTATGTCTTTAAAGAAATAAAATCCCAAGGAATTTACCTTTTAAGGCAAATTTTCCAGTGTTTAAAAAGCATTACAGGAGGCAGGAGGTAAGAAAAAAATGCAAGCAGGCATCATTCTGTAGTATGATGTCTACTAGACAACTTATGCTCAATACTTTTAGAGTAATCATGTATAATGCTTAGGAAGAACTGTGAAAAGGAAAATCAAGATGAAACTATCTTTCTCCACATGTGGCTTACTAGTTGTGCAGCTCTGAGTAGGTCAATAACCTGCCATGAGCCAGAACATTCTCATCTGCGAAGTGAGGTTGCCAGAGTGACCTTGGAGGTCCCTTTCTGTCCCACCCATTCTCTATTATTCTCTGCCCAGTCTCAAGTTGCCAGTTGTCTTCAGCCTAAGCTAGGTCAGCCACAGATTTTTAGAGCTAGAAGCAGAAAGATTTTTACCTAAATCCACACTTTCATTATATTGCTGAGGAAACACGAGCCTGGGAGATGTGAGTCAGGCCTAGGATGATAGTACCAAGACAGGAACAGATCCTCATACACCATGGCAGCCAAAACTGCTGTGTCCTGTCCAACCAGCCAGTATGGAGGCTCTTAAGGGAAACATGGATTTGGGTCAAATTATGCTGTGGTCTGAGAGCTTATCTCCTTTGCCAGCAACACTTGGGAGCAGCAGAGCAGGGCACAGATGACAATAAGGAAGTAGGACAGCTTAGGGAGACTGAGTATTTGGAAACAGATGAGAACAGGAAAACACAGGTTGGAAATACACATGAATCGTAGCTTCTTGGCACCTGTTGGTAGAGTTACCAGTTATCAATCTACCACCCTCTTGGGGGTTTACTGTCCGCATTTGCTCTATCTATGAGTTTACTTCCACAAAGCAGGCAACATAGGAGGTCCCTAACTGGTAGCTTGGATTCTCAAGTACAGCAGGTCCTTGAATAGTAAGCATCTTTTTATTATAACACTGATGAGGAAAGAAAAATTGATTCCCAGCTGGGGCCACCATCTGTGTAGGGTTTCACATTCTCTCTGCCTGCATGGGTTTTCTCTTGGCACTCTGGTTTCTTCCCACATCCTGAAGATGTGCACATCAGTTAACTGGCACCTCTAAATGGTCCCAGTTGGAGTGTGGGTGTATGGAAGTGCACCCCACCCTGGGGATGGTGTCCTGTCCAGGGCTGGTTCCCAGCTCGTACCCTGAGCTGCCGAGATAGGCTTTGGCCATCTGCCACTCTGAACTGGAACAAGCAGGCTAGAAAATGAAAGCATTACGGTAAAATGAAAGTTGTCAAGCTGTACGATAAACAAACGCACGCATTTGTGACGCAGTAGCAAAGTGTTCAGCGAGCCTGCCATATTTGTTACCATTTGTTTTTAAACTTTGTGGTGGCAGGAGGTGCTCCTTACAATTTTTACTTTGCAAACGTTTATGCTTTGATTTAACCCACCTTCATGACCCCTTATTGTTCACTGATTAACCAAGCATTAGGTAAATAATTATCTTGTGTCTACTAATCTTCCTGAAATGTATAGATAGCTCACATTTATGCTAATGGTTAATATTATAAGTGTTCTTGGGTCTTTATTTAGAAGTTTGGTGATGTTTCTATGACAGAAACATGCCATGGAAACTCTTGTTTATATCAATTAGCCTATGGTAAAACAGATTTCCTTATAGGTAGTTTCACTTAAAGCTGCAGTTTCTAAGAACTCATTGATGACATTAAGTGGGGACTTAACTGTATTTCACTGCATGGCCCGGCAGTGCTATAGGAGTCCATATTATCTTTAGCCTTACAAAAGCAGGGTCTCTTGTCTTTTCAGTTTTAAAAATCTCAGCTTTTCAGGCGCTTTCACTGACCTTGAAAAGCAATTAGATGCAATCAGACTAAGTCACTTGATTAATTGCCCCTAAAGTTCTTTATCAGTCCCTCACCACCACCACTTCCTGCCTACCTAATTCCATATCCCACACATTTAAAGCCAAAGCGT